TGTGACTGAAATCCTCTTTTTCAGTTTGGCACTTTACCTTTCACAAAGGCTTGTAGTGTGCCTGTTTTTGATAATTTGAGCGAATCATATATGCAAGATCAGAAGGTTTGATTGGTGGCATATACCGAACACCTGGAGGCTTCTTATGTGCTTCAAGTTCTTTTTTGAAGAAAGAAAGTTACACAAATCGACATGGCAATGGTCTCCTTGCATTTGAATGAATGAATTCATTCTGACTAGCAGCATAATGCGAAGAGAAAAAAAAACAATCTGTGACCAGCAGCAGCATAAGAATTTTTTCACATTTGTGAAACTATTTTTCATATCACATATATATTTGTTCATGTCTACAGCAAAAAAAAGAAAAAAGACAACAATCTTATGTTGTAATACGTAGACTTTACCCCAAATGAAATTAAACTTTACATGTATTACTATATATTTAATTTTACAATTTTAGTTCTTTGCAGGTGTCAATAAAAGTGACTGTGAGTATATCTTGTCGAGCACGAAAGCAATGTTTAGCAAAGCAATATCATATCCCAAATTAGGTAAGGTTCTTGAAATTCAACTTTCTCAGATACTAAGGTATTGATATCTTGAATAATTTTTTTTTTTTAATGTCATGTAGACAAATGGCTCGATTAAGTTTGTCCACAAAAAGGAAACTACGTGTTACTATAAATGCTTTGATTGTCTACCTTCGAATAATATTTGTTGTGTGTGCTGCGAGTTATGTCTATGCTTGCTTAGCTTATTGAAAAAGTCATCGACCAAGTCTTCCTTCGGTGATAAGAGTTTACAAACAACTAGAATACCTACATGGACTTAGTTTATGGGAGTGATACTACATGTATTGACCAACTAAGGATGGATAGACAATCCTTTCATAAGCTTTGTCAGATTTTGGTCACTAAAGGAGAACTACGATCGACCCAAAACGTGTCCACAGAGGAGATGGTTGCAATTTTTTAAACATTCTTGCACACCATCATAAAAATCGCGTCATAAAATTTAATTTTACTAGATCGGGACAAACTGTTAGTAAATATTTTCATGAGTGCTTGAAAGCAATGATTCGATGCCAAAAGGATTTCTAGAAATCACCTGAACCTGTACCTGAGAACTCAACAGACTATAGTTGGAAGTGGTTTAAGGTATGCGCTATTTATAGCTATGAAATTATTCAAAACACAAATACTTATTTTCTTTTAAGAACCTTATTAATAATTTTTTTATATTTTAATATATAAATGTTTAGGAGCATTAGATGGAACCTATATTAGAGTGAAGGTACCAAAGCGAGAGAAACCAAAGTACAGAACAAGGAAGGGTGAAATAGCAACGAATGTTTTGGGAGTTCGCTCTCAAGAATTGTAGTTTATATATGTTTTGGCTGGATGGGAGGGTTTTGCACATGATAGTCGAGTCCTTAAAGATGCTCTGAGTAGGAGAAATGGACTAAAAGTCCCTAATGGTAATATTAAAAAACCAATATTTTAATTTAGTGCATTTTCCGTTATGCATAAAATATCACTTTAGGTTTATGTCTTTTACTATTTTGTTTTTACATTTGGTTATTATTACTTAGTGGATGCTGGTTACACCAATGGAACAAGCTTCCTTGCACCTTTTACAGGACAACGTTATCATCTTAATGATTGGAGGGATGGGCACCGACTTGAGTCAATATGAAACATTCGAGTGCCAGAAATGTTATTGAGAGGTGTTTTGGTTTATTAAAAATGCGTTGTGCAATTCTTAGGAGTCCATCCTTTTATGATATTATAAAACAACATTGTATAATTTCTGTGTGTTGTATGCTCCGTAACTTTATAAGAAGAGAGATGGCTTTGGATCCTATTGAACATCAAGTGGACAATCAGCTTGTAGATGAGACTTTGGAAACAATGATTACATTAGTACAGTTGAGTCCTCAGACATGTGGAGTTCATGGAGGCAAAACCTTGCAAATGAAATGTGGAATACATGAAATGGAAATAGGGAATAAAGACATGTGATGAACACATTATTTGTTTATTTTTATCATGTTATTTAATGTACTCAAGACATTATTTATTTATTTTGCTTATGTAATGTATTGAATATGAACAACTAATGTGAGTTCCTGTGTTTTTAAGAACCTTTTCATTCATTCATTCATTCTTTTTTTAGAGCTGGAAACTCAAAAATTTCAATATAATTACATGTTATTCATCACTTGTGTAGCAGATTGATTGTTTTTCATGCCTTTGACATTGACAACATCTGTTACATGACATTGCTTGCTTTTCATGCCTTTTGATTCAAAAATATGTATCTTTTTTTTGTTTATTTTATGTAGTAGATCATTTATTGTCATGAGTTCTACTGCTACTTCAAGTGGAAAAGTAAAGGGAGGAAGGGGACAAAATAAGCGCTATTGGACAATTAAGGAGGATAACACATTGATGGAATGCTTGATGGAACTCCATCAGAATACCAATTGGCGAGGTGACTCAGGCTTTAAAAATGGATACTTGAATAAATTAGAAACTATGCTAGAAGTCAAACTTCCAAATTCTGGGTTGAAGGCATCACCCCATATTGAATCAAGAGTGAAGACCTTGAAGGGAAAATATGGTGCTTTAGCTGATGCATTATCTCAAAGTGGTTTTGGGTGGAATGAAGAGGAGATGATGTTGGTATGTTAGAAAAGTGTATTTGATGCATGGGTGAAAGTAAATCTAAGCATATCCTAAAAAATATTAATTTTCTTTTAAGAACCTTATTAATAATTTTTTATATTTTAATATAGAACTGTTTAGGAGCATTAGATGGAACCTATATTAGAGTGAAGGTACCAAAGCGAGAGAAACCAAAGTACAGAACAAGGAAGGGTGAAATAGCAACGAATGTTTTGGGAGTCTGCTCTCAAGACTTGCAGTTTATATATGTTTTGGCTGGATGGGAGGGTTCTGCACATGATAGTCGAGTCCTTAAAGATGCTTTGAGTAGGAGGAATGGACTAAAAGTCCCTAATGGTAATATTTAAAAACTAATATTTTAATTTAGTGCATTTTCCGTTATGCATAAAATATCACTTTAGGTTTATGTCTCTTACTGTTTTGTTTTTACATTAGGTTATTATTACTTAGTGGATGCTGGTTACACCAACGGAACAGGCTTCCTTGCACCTTTTAGAGGACAACGTTATCATCTTAATGATTGGAGGGATGGGCACCGACTTGAGTCAATATGAAACATTCGAGTGCCAGAAATGTTATTGAGAGGTGTTTTGGTTTATTAAAAATGCGTTGTGCAATTCTTAGGAGTCCATCCTTTTATGATATTATAACACAACGTCGTATAATTTCTGTGTGTTGTATGCTCCATAACTTTATAAGAAGAGAGATGGCTTTGGATCCTATTGAACATCAAGTGGACAATCAGCTTGTAGATGGAACTTTGGAAACAAATGATTACATTGGTACAGTTGAGTCCTCAGACGAGTGGAGTGTATGGAGGCAAAACCTTGCAAATGAAATGTGGAATACATGGAATGGAAATAGGGAATAAAGACATGTGATGAACACATTATTTGTTTGTTTTTATCATGTTATTTAATGTACTCAAGACATTATTTATTTATTGTGCTTATGTAATGTATTGAATATGAACAACTAATGTGAGTTCCTGTGTTTTTAAGAACCTTTTCATTCATTCATTCATTCTTTTTTTAGAGCTGGAAACTCAAAAATTTCAATATAATTACATGTTATTCATCACTTATGTAGCAGATTGATTGTTTTTCATGCCTGTGCCATTGACAACATCTGTTATATGACATTGCTTGCTTGTCATGCCTTTTGATTCAAAAACTGTATTCTTTTTTTGTTTATTTATGTAGTAGATCATTTATCGTCATGAGTTCTACTGCTACTTCAAGTGGAAAAGTAAAGGGAGGAAGGGGACAAAATAAGCGCTATTGGACAACTAAGGAGGATAACACATTGATGGAATGCTTGATGGAACTCCATCAGAATACCAATTGGCGAGGTGACTCAGGCTTTAAAAATGGATACTTGAATAAATTAGAAACTATGCTAGAAGTCAAACTTCCGAATTCTGGGTTGAAGGCATCACCCCATATTGAATCAAGGGTGAAGACTTTGAAGGGAAAATATGGTGCTTTAGCTGACGCATTATCTCAAAGTGGTTTTGGGTGGAATGAAGAGGAGATGATGTTGGTATGTGAGAAAAGTGTATTTGATGCATGGGCGAAGGTAAATCTAAGCATATCCTATTATGGGCGTATTGAATTAAAAAATACATATGTTATGCTATGTCTTTAATATTTATTTAAGAATACTAATGCAGATATATATTGTAATTGTAGAACAAAAAGGATGCAAGTGGTTTGTATGGCAAGTCGTTTCCACATTACTATGCACTTGGAGAGATATACGGAAAAGATCGTGCTATTGGAACAAATGCTGGAAATGCTGATGATGATGAAGAAGAAGTTAGGTGAGATGATGCAAGTGTTCATCAGAATAGAAGTGTGGGTGATGACTTTATTGAGGAGATGTTTTCACATCCTGATGGTGGGTCACAATATGGGGGTTCAAAATACGAGGGATCTCAATTTGAGGATGTTGAGGATTTGGAAGATGACGAGACAACCTTTATACAACCAAATCCCCAACCCTCGAGTGCCCAACAACGTGCCCAACAAAAGAGAACCGCACAAGATGTAGCAAGTGGTCCAAATCATCCTCGTAAGAAGGTAAATGCTTTGAATGAAATATCTAACAAATTTGGACTTATGGCTGAAGCTGTAGTAGGAATGGCACCTCAGCTTGCAGGCTTGGTTAATGTTCTTTCAATAGAGAAGGATCTTGCTGATATGCAAGCTAAACTTGGTGGTGAACTAAGGAAAATAGAATTCCTATCTCCTTTGCAAGTATTTCGTATCACCAACGTTTAAGCCAAAGAGCACAATTTGCTGAGGGTCTTCTTTACCATGACTGATGAAGAAAAAAAAAGATTATGTGCTTAATCTTATGGAGCATGGCTTACAATGATTGTGATTGATGAGTAATGGGTGAATGACTTTCATTGAGATTATATATCTCTTTTTTTGGTAGTATGAAGATTGTGTATTTAATGGTATGAAGATTATGCAGGTTATTATTATTTGATTGTTTACTAGTTGTAGGGGCTTTTTTGTTCCGGCAGCTACTGCGGGCCTGGGCTGCCGTAAGGAGAAAACTAAAGAAAATATCCCCCTCGTGTCTGAGTTCAAAGATCAGACCCAAAATGTTTCGAAAGGGTTGTAAAGCCTTAGGAAACACCTTGTTAGCATGTGCATCATTTTTTATCACAGTCAGGTACCCCATCCTCTGCTTCTTACCAACACCTCCCTGACTCCCAATAGTGCTACTCTGTGCTTGTGCCTTTCCTTTCCCCTTGACGTCTCTCTTGACATCCAGACTCTTCTTAAACTCATTATTATTTGCTTCAATAGAGTTTGCACACTCCACCACATCCACCAATTTCGTATGGCGGAAACCAGTCCCCATCTTCTTCACATAAGCATTCAAACCCCTTTGAAACTTCTGGGTTAGTTGCAACTCACTCAGAGGGTTTGCAAAACGAGACAACTCAGCAAACCGTGCCTCATACTCCCTCACGGTCATGGTCCCTTGTGTCAAGTTTATGAATTCCATTTGTAACTCCTCCTTGACAGTATCAGGAAAGTACTTCTTGTAAAAGAGTGCCAAGAATTCTTCCCAATCCATCATCCACATTCTGTGATCTTTCCACCGTATCCCACCACACTCATGCCTCATCCTGTAAGTAAAAGGAAGCTGCACTCGTCTTCTCAACACCAGTCATACGCAACATCTTGAAGTAGTTCTCAAGATTCCGTATCCACCTATCCGCCTTCATGTGATCCACTTTACCCTCAAAGGGTTTAACTCCCAGTTTCTTGAGGTCTTGAACCAATTGGGACATTCTAAAGGGATCTGCGGGTGGCACTGGTGGTGGTGGAGGAACCCCATGCCCCGGTGCCTGCAAGAACTCTGCAAATAGATTAGCTGTACGATCATCCATTGGCACATTGCGCATATTTTGCGCACCAGCATGAGCTTCTTCTCCAATCTCCTCCTCAGACTCCTTATGAATTTCAAAAGTAATCTTTACAGCTCCTTGCTCTTCGCCCCTACCACCAGCTATGCCTTGACCTCTGCCTCGACCTCTGCCTCGGTCCATTCCCTTTTTGGAAAAAAAACAAGTGAACTGTTAATTCCATACTTGAGTATTATCTCAAAATAACCAAGTTTGAAATTAACGTACAACCACAGCCACAACAGAGGACCCATTCCTCTAACACCTAAACCCTTCTTAGAGCTGACCATAAGCTCTAACACTTCATCAAAGCAGAACCATATGTTCTGATACCAAACTGTCACGCCCCGAATTTTCAACAACAATTAATCTGCAAAGTTTAAACAGAACAACCAACCATCCGGGACGTGAAGTTCGGAACCTTCAACAAAAGTACCTAGAAATTTAAATTTTTCTTTCTTGATACAACACCACTATTCCACGAGCCTCCTGCTCCTCACCTTAAATCTCCTGCTCACGGTCTCTACCACCTGCAGGATTTTCCCCTACACCATTGAATAGTGCACCGGGTTCACCACAGAACAACCCGGTAAGCTTTCTAAAGCTTGTATGAGTCAACCACGTCCACAGTATAATATGTCAATTACACATAATATACAAACACATGCACTTTCATTAGCACACCACAATCCTTGTATACCCAAGGTAATCATAATCATCAATATCATCACAATCACAATTCTTTTATTTTATTTAAAGAACTGTTTCGATCACCACCTGTGACCACACCAAAACTCTTTTATTTCAAAGTAGTTTTAACACGTCATTTATTTGACATATAGAAGAGAGAATACTATGAACCTCTAATCTATAACACTACAAAACTCCAAGGTAGTGTTT